ACTAAATAGAGAGTACTTTGAAAGGAACAGGTTAGAATTAGGGATAATTAAGATCACCTAAGTGAACCAGTTCAGCTTGTACATAAAAAACAATACGGAGAAGGACTCCTTATTCAGTAAGAACAGTATCTAAGATAAGGAAGGATTTAGGAGTTGAGTTTAACTAGAACTCTTCCACCAAGGAAGAGTAGCATTAAGATTCTTGTTAATTCTCTATCTACTAACTCCTATATATTGCAGAATGTTCTTATTGTACAGTTACATACAAAAGCAGAAGTTAAGCAATAATTAAGAGCAAAATAGCGAGACAATTTTGCAAGCAGTTCGAGTAATATTTGAGTGTGCGAATCTGACGCTACTTGAACCAGCTAGAAGAACCGGTTCCAACTATTGTCTTTTAGTCTAGTTATTTGTAGTAGATGGTTTTAACTTGTACCTTTTTAGCTTTATCTAGAAGCGTCTGTAATAGGTACGTTGTGTTTCAAGTTAGAGTTAACATGAAGTTTGTCGCAAATAGCTAGAGGCTAGTTTGCTATAAAGGGTTAGAGGTAATTCTAGATTTACAAAAGAGTTTTTGTAAATGTTGTTTTGGCTCACTGATTTAGTAAAGAGTTTTGGAAAAACCTTACTGGGAAGTAGGTCGTGGTTTTTTCACCTTTTGAGCAAGGTATTTTTCACATAAAAATCTTTGTGTTCTTTATTTATGTATAATATAATTGACAGTTGAATTTGAAGAAAGTTGTGAAGATAAAAGAGGGAATAGGAGAGGAATCTAACTTAGGGGACTGAAACAAAGCAGAATGAGTCAGTATAATTAGGTGAAGTGTTTTCAGATCTGGTCCAACTCAATCTTTTTTTGTTCCTTGGCTTTAAGACAAAAGGAAAATGGGAGCAAGATAACAAAGAGGACTGCTCATCATGTGTTGGATCTGTATTGCAAAGGTATCATATTAATAAGATTAACCGTCTCTCCGTCCTCATAAAGTAGGGTAACGTCTGCGTATACACTATCTTCCTTAAAACTCACGATGTAGAATAATATTGAGTATGTTATTGTTGTTTGATTAAAGCTCAACTTCCAAGATTTGTATTAACACTTGCATATATTGGACTATGCATACTTGGATTAATTAAAACGAATGAAAAGATTAATGCTAGGGGAAACATCATTTAATCATTATATTTTATCAAACAGTAGGAGATACCTCCTAATATATTTAATGTGAAACAGTAAGTGCAATTTAGAGCAGCTTTTGGTTGGATAGTCTAAAGTATACTCCCTCTAGTCATCAAAGAAAAACAAATTGGTCCAAAAATATTTGTAATTTTAGAAAATTAAGAAGACATTAATTGCTTTTTTTTCTTTCAATTTCTTCTTTACTATTCCAATAAGGCATATACTCCATCCGTTCACTTTCACTTATCTAATATACTAAAAATATATTTTTGTTTTTACTTGTCCATTTTAACAAATCAAGAGAATATCTTTTCTTCATATTTTACCCTTATCATTAACTACTCATTCCCTAAATCATTTTTCAATACATTTTGAAATGCTATAATTATTATTGATATAATTATAAAATATATACATAATTTATTTATTTTAAAGGGAGTGCAATGTCAAAAGTAGACAACTAAAAATGAACGGAAGAAGTAATCATTAGCTCATCATTTATGAAAAAATTAAAGGTAATTTAGTCAAATCCTTAAACGTATAAAAAAAACTCTAAGGGAATATTAAAATATGAATCATAGGTTAAAAGGTATAATCTTTACTTTTCCCAATTGTCCCCTTAAGTAGCTTAAATTAAAATTTGATTGAGCTATCATCCAAATGCGAAAATAGTTTTCCTTTTCTCTTCTTCTAACAATTAGGAAATGAACGTAATAAGCAAAAAGAAAAATAATATTGTACTAAGATTAACATTAGAAACACCAGTCAAGCTAAAAGACCACGGCTAGAGAAGGTAGAACAAAACTGTTCCGCGTGAAAAAATTATACAATAATTAACACTCAATAACGATAAAAGTGTAAGCAATGTTAAAACAACTCAAACCAATGTAGTACACAAAAAATTGGCGAAACAAAGAGGTCGTTACAGCCAACTGAAGTACAGAACCTTCCAAGGTAGCACGTGAAAGCAATTTCATCAAATATAACATTTATACTAGCGATAACTTTACTAGCTTCTAGTCTCCATATCTTGTCTTTAACACTGAACTTAATTATAACCAACGGCGAAACCGGAAATTTCTCTAAGGATGTTCAAATTTGAAAGAAATTAAAATAATTCTCGATAAAGGGTATTAAATATATGTAATTTACCTCTGAAACATAATATTTTAACAATATATATAAAGTAATTTTTCGACGAATGATGCTCAATTGACCACCCTTAAGTAAATGTAGCTTCGCCCCTGATTATAACCGAGAGAAATATACTTTCTGGACTTTGGTTCCAAATTATCACCATTGACATGTGTGTATATACCGAACTATCAGAAAGTTAAAAGAATTTCTGATTATGCAAAAAGGATAATAAAAAGGATAATAAAAATTTTATATACTTTCTAAACTTTTCATTTTGCTCAAAAAAGATCTTTAGATCGTGGTGTAAAAGATCCATCAGTCGCACAAGAATTAAAAAGATCATTAATTTTTAGAAATCACTATTGTTTAGTGGTTATTAACTTCCTATAACTATCATATACATAATTACTTCGTATAGCTACTATTCCGTTGTTACGGTAGTGTATTCACATATATTCGCGGTGTTGTATTCATGAATATAGCAGCAAAAAACGTCTAAAATCAGGGCAGTCCAGTTGTACGTGTATGTATTCACATGTATTCGCGCCATGTATTCATGAATACAACAGTAAAAGTGCCTAAAATTAGGGCAATCTAGTTGTACGCGCATGTATTCATTCGCGTTGTTGTATTCATGAATACAACGGTAAAAAATGCCTAAATCAGGGCAGTCCGGCTATACGCGCATGTATTCAGATGTATTCGTGCCATGTATTCATGAATACAGCAGCAAACAATGCCTAAAATCAGGGCAATCCAGTTGTACGCGCATATATTCACATGTATTCGCGCCATGTATTCATGAATACAGTAACGACAATCTCTTAAAAACAGGCATGTCCAACTGTCTAAGAAAGAGGAAAAATATAAATAGAGTATTTCATGCCTTATGTCATGCCTCAATGGTAGTATATACCATAAAATACTTATTTTACTAAAAAATATAAAAGGTAACTATAGAAAATAATATTTTTAAAATGATTTTAGTTTATAATAAATAGGGTGTATACTGAAGTGCACAATTATCCACTAATTAAAGATATCTTTACTCTTTAGCCACTGTTTAAAATGTATTTACTTTTTAGCCAGTGCTTAATAAATTTTTATCTGTCTGGACGAAAATACCCCTATGCTAGACATGGGTATTGTGTAAATATTAAGGACATGGTGTCTTTAACTTTATGAATGTTGTGTAAATATTAAGGATAAAGTATCCTGCCATTGTTAAACTTTAGGACATCATGTCTTTAACTTCATATGTGCAGTGTAAATATTAAGGACATGGCGTCCTTAACTTTATATGTGCAGTGTAAATATTAAGGACATAATGTACTTAACTTGTATTTGTACATTCTGTTGTTAAACTTTAGGACCGCATGTCCTTAACTTCATATGTGCAGTGTAAATATTAAGGACATGGTATCCTTAACTTCATGTGTGCAGTGTAAATGTTAAGTACATAGTCCTTAACTTTATGAGTATTGTGTAAATATTAAGAACATAGTGTCCTTAACTTCATGAATGCTGTGTAAATATTAAGAACAAAGTGTTCTGTATTTGCACCTTTCGTTGTTAAACTTTAGGACATCATGTCCTTAACTTCATATGTGCAGTGTAAATGTTAAGGACATGACGTCCTTCACTTCATGTGTGCAGTATAAATGTTAAGGATACCATGTCCTTAATATTTACACAACACTCATGAAGAAAGGGTAAAAATATTTTTTCGTATTAATTTTAATAAAGTAGTGGCTATTTTTGCTCAACATTAAAAATACTGGATAAAAACTAAATACCTTAATAAAAAGTGGTTATCCCGCGCTATTTCTACTTGCTATAGGAGGTAAAATTTCCAAAAATAATTCACTAATGAAGCAACATCTGAAAGTTAGGCCTAATAACAAGGTCCAACCCACAAAGAAGATCCTGTAAGCCCATATCACCTACTATTATAGTGTCAACAAAAGTAAAGTTGTTGCCCCCAATTTCTTTCAATCAGAATTCAGGTCTTATACAGTATTTCAAAATATACTTTAACATGTCGAAAGTTATTTAACTTTGGAATAACATCGGCCCAATATCTCACTGAGTTTAGTCCATTAATATTTAGTGTCCATACCCAATAAATCATTTGATCATCTTGCACAAGGAAACTGGAAAGAAAAGGAGAGCCGTGAGCTAACGCCCAACAGAGAAGTGCTTCCTTCTTCTGCTCTTATATTTCAATCCCTTTTTATTCAAAAATACAGTTAAGGAGTTTCAGTATAGGGAAATACAGTATTGTGGTAGTCGTTGGCAACTTTGTCATCGTTTGCTTCAGAATGATAAGGAGAGATATATATCATGTATATAAATATCAACAACTAACGGCCATATGAATTCTCATTATTCTTGTCACTTCATTCTGCGTCAAATATAGAAAAAGATCATGTATAGAAGAATAATTAAGTTTTTTCAAGAAATATATTTAATGGGGATTATATAAGTTGCGGTCATTATCAGCAGATCCAAAACCAAACAGCCACATGTTGTGTTGCGTAATACAGGGGTTAGAACAAGTTCCTCCTATTCCTAACAGCTACAAGAAATGACCTACTTCAAGGATATGACTTTGTGCGGCGAATTATTCCATTATGATAATGACATCCATTCATTTCTTTAAAAATTCTAATCTCTTTAATTTGCCTTTTCCTTTTATCAAAATGCTCTCTCCCCACGCAAACCACCACCTGCATTACGTTAAAGGGCTATGAAGCTCTTCAACAAGGAGAAATAATAATAATAATAGAATAGGCGGATTTTCACAAGACCACACAAAGAAAAGACAACGTTCATGCCGGCCAAATGTTACAACATTTTTCTATTCATTTATTTTAGCAATGTTTCTACAATGTTGTCCTTCTCACCCCCTGTATGTTCAGCTAAGAATTTTCTGCATTTCCATTCGTACCGGAGATTACTTCCGCTAGTAGAAGCACACGATGGAGAAGAGATTCAACAGGAACCTGTCAAACGAAAGCAGAGGATCCTCAAAGAGCTTACAGAAGATAATTGCAGAGAGCAAGAGGCCTAGTACTCATGTCCCTGACTTAACTGATTTTATGAATGACATGTTTTTCGGGACACCAAGTCCTGATAAAAAAGCATATAATCTGAAGGGAATTAGCACGAATTTAATGGACGATGAAGATAATTTTGACTCGAGCACANAAGCAGAGGATCTTCAAAGAGCTTACAGAAGATAATTGCAGAGAGCAAGAGGCCGAGTACTCATGTCCCTGACTTAACTGATTTTATGAATGACATGTTCTTCGGGATACCAAGTCCTGATAAAAAAACATATAATCTGAAGGGAATAAGCACGGATTTAATGGACGATGAAGGAGATTTTGACTCGAGCACGAGGAGCGTTAGCAGCAGATTAACTCAGGAGTGGCTGCAGGAGGCTAAGCAAATGGTGGCTTCATCTCCTGGTCGTGGAAGTGAGTCGCCCCCAAGGAGGCTAGTGGTTTCCCCTAGGTTTGCAACATCTCATGCTAGAATTGCAGATTCTCCAACAGAAGGGAGAGATCCCCTCTCTAGGTCTGCTAGAAGGTAACAACTCATCTTTTTTTGTATAAGTAAACATTCTTGCATTTTGTATCGATCCATGTTATTTACAATTTATTTGCTACGAGTGCAATGGAACTGTACAATTATGATCAAAATATACAATTAAAAAAAGGAAAAGCCAAATATTAACAGTAAATTTAATAATTCTTTACCCAAAATATGGAAAAGTAACTTAATACTTTATTTTCGTTAATAACCAATCTTGAAGTCATGATTTTCTTCTATTTATGTTCCCACGTATTTGAAGTGTAACGGTTTAGAACCTCAAAGCTACATACTACAAGCTGGAAAGAGATCAGGAGTATCCTGATCTGTCCCAGCCAGTTCAAGTTTATGATTTACTTCACTAACTTTTTCTTATAAGCGGGCTCTGAGAATCAGTTTTGACCCATAAATATGCAATGCAGGTTAGTTTTGATAAAGAACCTTACCTAAACTTGATGTTTACACTAACCAAATTAACTTATTATGAGTAAGTTATAAACTAGGTTCATATACTTATTAATTCGTCATGATTAATTATTTAAAAAGTGTATGCAGAAGAGACGTGTCTTGTAATTAGTGATTTGGTGTAAACATCAAATTTGAATAAGTTTTTTTTCACTTAGGTTCCAAAATGTACTCCTTTCTAACCTATTTATTTGTCACTTTAGGCTTTTACACACCCTTTATAATTTTTTCCTTCTTTCTAGAATAATTAGAGTAATAACCGTGAAATTGAATAGAAATAATTAATCTTTTGTTAATTTTCTAAAAGAAAAAGTATTTTGGAACAACAAATTTTAGCAAAAAGTTGCAAGTAAATAGGGCTGAAGGAAACAATATTTAAGTAAATCAGTCTACCCAAATGTCTAAATGTAATTCAATATGTCTATTTGGCACCTCTAATTTCTAAACATAAAGTTCTGATTATACAAAATTTTACTAACAGATTTCCTTTGCTGGAAAAATAGGAATAGATCAGTGGTGGGCTTCAGCGAAGAAATCCTCTCAAAAACAGCAAAACACAACCGCAACAAATCAGAGCCGTTTAATCCTCCTTCAACTGGCACATCTCCTGCATCAAACGTTCAAGATTGGTTCTCCAACATCTTCAAACCTCCAAATGATGGGCCCACCGCCGGCACAACAGAGCCCACTTCTCCCAAGCCCAACAATGAGCAGCAGCAACCCGCACTCACCCTCCCACCCCGCCAATCAAACAGTCGCAGGACGCGATTCCATACAAACTCCAATGCACCTCAACCACAGTCTATTCATTCTCCCAAACGATCTTTCAAAATTCCCGTCACCGGCTCAACGGACAGTGGATCACACTGTTTAGACGACAAGCCACTTTCTCCACCCAAAAATCTCGTCGAGTCTTCTCATCGGAGGTCGATTTCGTCGACGACATGCTCGATCCCCGACGAAAGAATACTTTCGCCTCCAAGGAATTTGGTAGAGTCGGCTCACCGGAGGACCATTTCCGCGTCGACCTGTTCTTTCGACAAGGTTTTGCGAAAGAACATTAATAATGTGGATAGAGATGAAGTGAAGGAGGAAGATTTGAAGAGTCAAGAGTTGAATCGGTTCTTAAAGGATCAAAGAGACAAAATTAACAGCATTTTTAATGGAGAGTTGAAAGGGAAAGCCAAGATTGTGCTCTCTGGTCCTTCTAACAGTTGAGTTCCACCTGATATTTTTTCAATTTGAAATAGATATGTCTTGTTTTTCGCTTTAGGTTTGTGCTATTTCACTGAGTTAGTTGGAGTATTGTAGGTACAAGCTCAATGGTGGCAGCAATTTGCTATGCTTGGTTATTGGAAAATAGGATGAGGGCTAATGAGCAAGGAGGAGGAGAAGCAGATGCAAATACAATAGAGGTGGTGGTTCCTGTAATGAATATGACGAGAAGAAAAATGTTGAAGGAGAGGCAAGCTGCATGGCTTTTTCACCTTGTTGATATTGATGCCAAATCTCTGCTCTTCTCTGATGAGGTAATATACTAGTAGCAAGACCTAGCTGAACTGTAACATTATACTCGGGGTTTCTATGTACCTGCACGAGACACAATTAGACATGCTTTAGCGAGTCATATATTTCATGTTTGTAAATTGATTTCTAGATTAGTATGTGTATGTTCCTACTTTTTAAGACAAGAATTGCAGATCTAATTATACATCATTTAGTAATTCATAGAATACTTAATTTCCCTAGAATGTTAGAAAAGATGTTGCAAGTTATACCACAAGTATGGACTGTGATGCTTTGATGAGCTAATGCTGATCTTTGTTCTTTTGGTTTTGAAAAGGTTGATTTGGAAACACTACTGTTGTCTAAGCAGCTAAGCGTCCTTGTAGTTGGGGAAGACATACTCAAAACTAATGGAGAGGTACTTATGGTGTGTTCCATACCTGCAAAATGAATGATTTTAAGTTACAACACGGAAAGAAAAAGACTGTAGTGTAATTGATGAAGCTTTCTAATCTTTTCTCCTGTCATCTGTTATACTTGTAGGCTGTATCAGGGTGCACCATTCTTACTGACAATTACTGTGAGGATGCTTATGATCTACTTAAGACACCTATCTTGAAAAAGCTTCTGGTACTAAATGAGTTTTACTCCATTCCTCACATTAAAAATATAAGAAGATGAGAAGCACATCTTGAACGCTAACATTCTACTTCTTAGTTTGCAGGCATACTTTTAGACACACAAAACTTAAGTGCATCTTCTAAGGTGTCGATGACAAGAGATGTAGAAGCAGTTCAGCTGCTTTCAGTTGGCTCCACCCCTAATTACAGAAATACCTTTTTTGACCAATGTATGTTTTTCCTTTGCAGCTACATTATGATCAATGATTCAAAGCATTTTTATTATACGGATTGAAGTTTATGATTTTCCTTGCAGTGATACAAGATCCGAAGGACAATAGTTTCTTTGAAGCTATGAGGCAGAGTTATGGAAATTCACCCATTGATAGTAAGCTCACTGTTGACAAATCTTGGTTTGACTCTTTTGCCTCTTGCAATCCAAATATTGAACTTGTCCAGCTTTATTTTCACTTAACATGATTTGATCTAACTCACTTTTGTTTTGCAAACCCCAAATTAAATTACCACTGATGATTGCAGGTGGCCATAACTATAGAGCACAACAGGTGTCAGAGAGGAATTCCATTCTTCAAGAAAATACACCAAGTTCAGATAAAATTTCTAAAGATGTGAAGAACGGGAAGACAAATAGAGTGTCACCAAAGTCAGGTACTTCCCTTCATTTATCCATCTATGCATTTTCATGTTAATTTCCGTTGAAGTAATTATTGATACACAAAGATCATATCGAGCCTTCTCATTTCTGACTTCAGACTGTCTGATTATTATGATTGAAATTGAGAGAATCTTGAACGCATCAGAACAATTTTTCGCCTTGATTAAATTATATTGGAGCTGATTGGCTTTCGGTCAATGAATTTTTCATCAGGCTCATGCAGAATTAATTTGTCCTTAACATAACTAGGAAAGTTTCTATAATATCTGCATAATTTCTTTTCAATATTTAGTCTAATGTAGCACAACTATATTAATGACTCTGCAACAGTACCTTACAAGGGAACACATCAATGCTCCCACACAATCACACAAGTTATTTCCGATTCTTTTGTATGGAGAGTTATCCATGTGCTTATTCAAAGTTGCTCATTAATACATGAAACCATTTTAGCAACTGATCTTTCTGCAAAAGTTTAAAAAAAAAAAGATGAAAAAAAGGGAATGATTCTGATTCAGGATGCAGGTCAATGTTTTCACTTAGAAAGCTCAAGTAAAAGAGTGCCAAGAAAAAAAATAAATTTTCCTCTCGGTTCTAGGATAAATCTGGGAGTTAGGTGATTTAGCAATTTATTTGACAGCTGTTTTTTATTCTTAAGGAAGTTCTTTCCTCACTCGCCCAATTGAATATCCTAAAGTTTGGACCTTGTCAGAGTCTCAATATAAGATTAGTAAACCATTCCTCCTCTGGACTACCTGATTGATCATTGAATAATATATAGTGCTAAGAATAATAAGGTGTCATTTTTCAATACGGGTCAATCGGCTAATCCTTTGTGTTTGCATACTAGGTAAACCTAAAATATCACCTGTACAGGCTCCTGCAGCATCACCAGCCGATGCTTCTCGTGGCAAGAACAAGCCGTTCTTCTTAGCAAAGTGGTTTGGCTTTGGGAAGTGAGTTATAAGATCTGCTAAAATATGAAATATTTCGATCATCCAATGTTCATATTTAGTCAGAGAACTGTCAGGCTCATGGAAAGTGGATTTTGGAATTTTTTATAAAACCTACAAATTTAAGTATTTATTATGGATTTTAAATGTTTGGAGAGCTTTATTTGGTCGTTGGTCTTATTTAATTAATTTTTTATGTGTAAACTGAGTCCAAGCTGTTGCCAAAGCAATTTCAGTATCTATGATAACTACGATGTTTTTACATTTGAATTGTTTTGTTGATTGTTTTTTTGGGAAATTTCTATGCATCTTTTGTAAGATTCTACATTATTAATACTACTTTTCATTACTAATCTAGCATTTGATTCCAGCATTAAATTTTGTATAACTAATAATTGCATTCTTATAGTAGACTTCATGTATAATTGTTACGAGATATAATGTGAAATGAGAAAGAGAGTACCTAACATGACAAAAAATATGTTTTTATTAAGATGTCTATTTTTTTTAAAGTAAAAATAAAAAAGATCTTTTCTAATGAAAACAATATTATGAGGACATTATCACGTAAGAATTCTTTATAAGAAGTCTCCAGCACCACATTTCACTTGTTTTATTAGCCCGAGTCGATGCATTTCTACTAGAACTCCTGGATATAAAATCCCCCATCCATCTATTATTTCTTTGTCTTATCTTGTGAGGTCTCTCATTCTGAATTCGACCTCTGCCCACGCCCTTTTTAAACGATGATAAATATTGATTGTCAAATCATTGCACAATTAAAACAGCGGAAGAAAAGACTATATTTTACTCCTCATCTAGAATTTCCACTAGTGTCAAATATGTATTTACTACAGGAGCGCCTTTGAAAGGGGGCCTTTTTATCTCTAATAGCTAGGAAGTGAGTACAAAATTTTGCAATAAACATAGCAGTTGCTTTAACATAGTTAATGCTGAAGAAAAGATGTTATTTATTTTTCTCTAAAGAGTTTATTATGATCTTCTCATCTTAGTAGTTCAAAGTATTCAACAGCCTTGTTTTTGTTTTTTTGAGATAGGACCTTACAGAGTTAATTTTACCTTAAATATTTTGAAAGTCTTGTAATCATATTCGATCTCAGACAGAATGCGAGTAACATTATAGCTTTCCTAGCCACTAATTTATTTATTTTCCATGGAATATATTGTGGTTAGTTATTGTTTCATCATCAAGTTCCTACCTATACGCACCACGATAGCATTTGCACAATGCAGAAATACAGTGAAGCAAATGTTGACAATATATTTCTGTATATATAGAATTTATAAGACAAAAGTATCACAAAATAATTGCTCACTCATCCAAACCAGAGTTGAGAAAAAGAAAGAAAACTGTGGGAGAAACGAACATGTAGATGCCTCTTGATTGGGAAAATAATTGGGCATGTTATGTTATCCAATCTGTCTTTGTCCAATTATATGACCATTTCTTTTTCACAAACAGCTGTTACTACCTTGCAACCACAATGCACAAGGGTCCCAATTAGTTCCCATGTGCTTTTGCTCTTTTCCTATCTCAGCTGTCAATCCAATCCTCCTTCCTTTTCCCCCACATTCCCTACTACCTAATTAGGCCATGACATGAGTCTCATGTTTTCTCTTTCCCCATTATGTTTTTAATGATAGATATAATAACACAATATTCACCCAATGTAAGTTTCTCATTCTACCTTCCAAGCATAAAGAAACAGGCAAAAATCTGATGAGTTACTTGAATTTAACCCCTCTAGGGACCCAGAACTCCCTGTTTGGGATGACAACGGAGTTGATGTCGACGAAGAGAATGGTGGTGATGATAATTCTGATACTGATGAAGGAGATGTGGATAATAAAACTGGCCTGAAAATAAACAAAGCATGTCTTAAACCAGGATTGAAAATCCAGTCATGAACATCCCAATAAACTTCTATCCTCACTTTGTTGAGATGAATGGATTCATTCCCTCTGAATTTCCACTGCAAATGCTTCACATGAATGAACAATTTTCCATCTATCCTTATCTCCATTTCTGGATCAACCCCATCAATAGAAATTCCACTACTGTTAATTCTGTTCTTGCACTCAATAGAAATCTCATGCATTCTGCCCTTGTCATGGAATTTAACTCTTGTTGAGAACTTCTTCTTGCCAAAAATATGTTCTTTTCTTGACACTAAAGTTGGTTCAATCAGTGCTGGTCTGCAGCCTGTCTTTCTATAAGCATCTTTCTTCAAATCGCCGAGCAACAGAATAACTTCTTCATCACATACCACTGCTACATAGTAATCTGAGCTTGGCTCTGTCTCACCATTAAATTTAGCAGCTTTAAGATCCCAGTAGATGTCAACTGGCTTATTGTCCACAAGAAAGTGTTTTGAACCTTGTTTCCTCCAAAAATACCAGGGCTTTAGCTCCACCTTGCAAGTATACTGGCTATCACCACTATTTGAGCCTTCTACTGACACTGACAAACCATGGAGCAACAAGTTCTTGCACCAAGTAACTGTGATTAACCGACATTGATCAGCAATTTTAGTCCGATAAACGGACATAAAAATGCTTTGCCCTGACCTGGTTACTACAGTATGATCATCTGCTGAATTATCACCTGCTGAGAAGCAAGCAGGGATTGAATCTTGCATCATTTAGTTGTTGAATCTTGATTGGCTCTTAACTTGAAAGCCTTATCAGAAGCAAGAAAGAAGTATAGTTTGAGGAGGATAAGTTATTTTTTGCAGTGAGTATTGGCATAGAGAAAGAATCCTAGATATTAAATGTAGAGAGTACACAGATGCCGCCAGAGGTGATCTTGGCAGCATTGATGAAATACAATAATAAAAAATATGTAATCTGAACTGGCAAATAGATGGCAGACGAATGAGAGTGAGTGAAAGAGCTAGCAACCCCTTTTATATTCAATTATCTGATGTTTATCTTTCCTGGCATTTTTTTCATTTTTCTATTTGGATTTCTTTATTAGTAGTAGCTTTCTTGGTTATACCCCATTTTCCTTTTTAAATGCTTTTCAAAAAGACAACTTTTTTGAACCCATGGTAGACTTGATTCTGTCACAGTTAAAATTACTCATTTTCATGCAACGGTGAAAAAGCAGAGAAGTCTTCTTCACCAGATCTTAAGTTAGTAGATTTTTATGCACACCGAGGGTAAAATTATGACCAGTCAAAATCCAAAATGGGGTTTCCAACGAATGGTTCTTCACATTCTTTTACACTTCTTTTGATATGTATAATATAATTGACAGTTGAATTTGAAGAAAGTTGTGAAGATAAAAGAGGGAATAGGAGAGGAATCTAACTTAGGGGACTGAAACAAAGCAGAATGAGCCAGTATAATTAGGTGAAGTGTTTTCAGATCTGGTCCAACTCAATCTTTTTTTGTTCCTCGGCTTTAAGACAAAAGGAAAATGGGAGCAAGATAACAAAGAGAACTGCTCATCATGTGTTGGATCTGTATTGCAAAGGTATAATATGAATAAGATTTGAAGGGAGTTTGATTTAAGCTGTCTCAGTCTCTCTGTCCCTTCTCTATCCTCACAAAGTAAGGGTAAGATATACGTATACACTACCCTCTCCGGATCTCACGAGGTGGGATAATATTGAGTATGTTATTGTTGTTTGATTTAAGCTCAAGTTCCAAGATTTGTAGTAACACTTGCATACATTGGACTATTACTTGGATTAATTAAAATGAATGAAAAGATTAATGCGAGGGGAAACATCATTTAATCATTATATTTCACCATAGAACGTGATTATTGTTCCAATAAATTACTTGGCTCTGAACTGTCACGGTTTGCCTTTTATCAAACAGTAGGAGATACCTCCTAGTATATTTAATGTGAAACAGTAAGTGCAATTTAGAGCTGCTTTTGGTTGGATAGTCTAAAGTATTGTAGTATACTCCCTCTAGTCATCAAAGAAAAAAAAAATGGGTCCAAAAATATTTGTAATTTTAGAAAATTAAGAAATCTAAAATTAAGAAGACATTAATTGCTTTTTTTTCTTTCAATTTCATCTTTACTATTCCAAGAAGGCATATACTCTCTCCGTTCACTTTCATTTGTCTACTATACTAAATATATTTTCACTTTTACTTGTTCATTTTAGCAAATTAAGAGATAATCTTTTCTTCATGTTTTACCTTTATCATTAACTACTCATTTCCTAAATCATTTCTCAAGACATTTCGAAATGCTATAATTATTATTGATATAATTATAAAATATATACCTAATTTATTTTTTATTAAAGGGAGTGCAATGTCAAAAGTAAATAACTAAAAATGAACGGAAGAAGTAATCATTAGCTCATCATTTATGGAAGAATTAAAGGTAGTTTAGTAAAAACCTTAAACGTATAAAAAAACTCTAAGGGAATATTAAAATATGAATCATAGGTTAAAAGGTATAATCTTTATTTTTCCCAATTGTCCCCTTAATTAGCTTAAGTTAAAATTTGATTGAGCTATCATCCAAATGCGAAAATAGTTTTTCTTTTCTTTTCTTCTAATAATTAGGAAATGAACGTAATAAGCAAAAAGAAAAACAATATTGTACTAAGATTAACATTAAAAACACCAGTCAAGCTAAAAGACCACGGCTAGAGAAAGTAGAACAAAACTGTTCCGTGTGAAAAAAATATATAATAATTAACACTCAATAACGATAAAAGTGTAAACAATGTTAAAACAACTCAAACCAAAGTAGTACACAAAAAATTGGCCAAACAAAGAGGTCGTTACAGGCTTACACCCAACAGAACCTTCCAAGGCAGCACGTGAAAGCAATTTCATCAAATATAACATTTACACTAGCGATAACTTTACTAGCTTCTAGTCGACATATCTTGTCCTTTAACACTAAACTTAATTATAACCAATGGCGAAATCGAAAATTTCTTTGAAATAAGTGAAAATAATTTCCGACAAAGGGTGTTCAATATATGTAATTTACCTTTAAAACTTAATATTTTAATAATATATATAATGTAATTTTTTGACGAAGGGTGCTCGATTGACCACCTTAAGTAAATGTAGCTTCGCCCCCGATTATAACCAAGAGAAATACACTTTCTGGACTTTGGTTTGAAATTATCACCATTGCCATGTGTGTAAATACCGGACTATCAGAAAGTTCAAAGAATTTCTGATTATACAAAAAGGATAATAAAAAATTTATTTACTTTCTGAACTTTTCATTTTGCTCAAAAAAGATCTTTAGATCATGGTGTAAA